CAAAACGGTTCGAAACAAAATTTCGATCATTGTCTGTCACTTGAATACTTTCTAAACCCTCCTGTTACTTATCAGTATTAAAATTCAAAATCTCTACAATTTCAAGACTTAGAGTATATTATCCATCTGACATTATTCTCACCCTTAGCTGAATCATTCTGATCAGAATGATACATTGTCTCTTTATCTTTACCTGAGTGATCACCAATCTGAAAATTAGACTTGTGAGGAACCAGGATTTGTTTATCCTTCAAACTAGGATCCTTAGGATTCCCTTTCTCTCTCTCTTTAATTGCTAAATCTTTCTGTCTAAATTCTTTTTCATGGCCCCTCTTCTGCTGTTCATTAATCACTCTCTCTTCTTTTAAGAATTTGCTTCAAATCTCCTTTTAAAATTTCTATCGATTCTTTTATACTAGAGAATTCCTCCTGCTGTCCTCCCTCCTCCTTTTTCCTTCTACACTCTGTCTCCTCATGACCTTGTTTAAGACATCTTGAACAATACTTACTATCTTTTTCATAGATAATCCTCAACCATCTTCCACTAGAAGCACCCATATCCAACCAAATCCTCTTCTGATTTTCTGGAAGAAGGTTTACCTCAACACATGCTCTTGCTACACCAGGTCTTGTTAGTTGAATTGTAGGGTTATCAATCACCAATATCCTTCCAACAAGACTTAAAATATTTTTCACACTTTCATTATTGAAAGTATGCACCGGCAAACCAGGAAGAGAAATCCACATCGAAACAACTAGTGGTTCCACTCCAGGATAGAATTCTGGAAACCATTTAAAGAATCAAAATAGGAATCCATCGATATACGTGGCATCCTTCAACCACCTTCAAACATAATCCTCATAGAAATTGAAACAGTTTAGCACATGCATTGGATCATGAATTCCAACTGTAAAATCCCCTTTAAGAGCCCAACGGGTACTAATAAATTCTCTTATAACACCCAACAATGGATTACCATATGCACATTTGCCAATTAAGATTTGTTGAAAATGTTTGGAACGATTTTGTCTCCGCTGAAGTCCAATAGATCCATGGCTCACCATTGTTGCATACTACTCTTTTCCCCAATCTAGCCGAAGCAGATCCTTCATTCGTTGATGTAGCTTTAGACGAAAATAGCTCTTCTTCTCCAATTTGCTATGCCGCGAGAAGACTCAATTTGATTTCGATTGGATGAATCACACTGAAATTTGGATGATTTCTAAATAAAGGCAAAAGTTTTAGTGATATCCGGTGGTTTTGGAGGAATCGATCGGTGATTTTGATCGGTCGCCATAGATTATTTTTTTTCCTTTCAGTCATGAGATGCATCCAAAAACATATCGTTCATCTATAAAAAAAAATACAAATTCTTGGGTGATATGACCCATTTTTTTAATTAAATGTAAAACTATTAGGTTCTTTGAATTCACCAGTTGAATCATCGTGTGTGTATATTTTCATATATATATATATATGAAAATTGTTAAAAACTTAGGGGAAGACAGTTTTTAAAAATTTAGGGGGTTATAATGCATTTTCAAAAAGTTGAGGGGGGACGATGACCCCCCTTGGTCTGAATATGTTTTCGGAACTGTGTACCAGTATATCCATTTCTAAGTTAAAAATCCAGAAGGCTCCAAAAGATCTCCACTAAAAGAACATAAGTAATTTCATTCTCACCATAGTCTAAGTGAGCTACGACTCTCACCCAATTGAATTCCCTGGCCTGTTTATCTGTTTGTTTCGGTTCAGCTTTAGTTCATTTATTTGTATGTGGAGCTATTTGTTATCCCTCGTACGAGTCTGAGTCACTCATGAAGAAGGTGTGAAAAGAGTTATCCCACATCAAAAACTAACACATCCCAAGGTAGATTTATATGCCAAATTGGTTTTGGGTTGGATGCTTTAACAGCCACCACAAAATTGCGAGTTCGAATCTCAGTACAATTTACTTTGTACAAGTGAAGCCCAAGGTCGAGTATGTACATCATCCACTCCTCCCAGCAACCTCATTAACCAGGATTAAACTAAACAATAATCTTTGACTTCAAAAGTATCATAACATCGAAGCAGGTTACTCAAGACATTCAAGTGCAAACACCATGCCTTCAATTTCCAAGAACTTTTGATCGACCAACAGTCCAACTTTTGTGAAAAGTAAAGGTATTTTGAGATAATTTAGTTTGGTGAAGTCTATTAAATAAACAGTGATATCACACATGGTAAAACAATGATGTATGATAATAAATCATTTAATAATTTCAACTACAAGGCAAGTAGGGGCGGGCCTCGGTTGGGGCCAGCTAGACAAGGTTTTTTTTTAAGTAGGGGTGGGCCCTGGACAAAAAATATGGCCCGACAGTTTCTAGGGCCATGGCCTGAGCCACATGTCGCGGCCCACATCCTTGGCCAAAACAACATGCTTTACATATATGATATATTGTTTTTGAAAACTGGCAGACGAAATTAAATTGTAGATTGCACAAATAACATCTTTAATCATCTAGTTATGGGTCTCAAAAACTATAGAAGTACATGATAATACAAGAAATTCCTAGAATGAAAAAAGGTAAATTGAAAATTTTGGAAATACAACCATCATTAACTTACCCCAGATACACTAATTAAGTCCTTGGATGAAATTGATGATCCATATAAACGAGCAGCTCCCTGTAACATTCCAAAATAGAAAAGTTCACTATTGAGAAGGATGATAACTTGGCTTGGGCTAAATGACAACAAATTTGAGGATTCTTCGTTCAAGGTTGTTCGTTGAACTGGAAACATTCTACATATTTATATTTAGAGCATTAATCCATAAAAATAATTCTTGGCTTTACCAAAATAATACCTCTGCTAAAACACACCTATTGTCCTATCAGATTTCCCCAATGTAGTGTAAGGCGTCCAAAACTGGTAAGTAAACCTCAGGTGCCTCTCCATGCATTATAACAAAATCTACCATACTAGTCCTGACATCACCACTATGGTAAAAATATAAAGGAACCAGTGTTATTTAAGGCGTAAAGCGAACCGAAGCGACCAAGGCTCCTAACGCCTAGGCGAGAAGCGAGAAGCGACACATTTTACCGAAGCAAAGCGAACAGTTAAAAAAAATATATATTTTAGTTTAATTACTTCTAAACAATCTAAGTTCTAATTTTATATATACTAAATATTTAAATGCAAGTAAAACCATAAACATTTAAATTAAAAAAAACACTAATAATATCTCAAATCTTAATAACAGTCATAACTTAAACATTTAAATTCAAACAAATACTAACAATTGTATACATTTTCATATTGACAGGGTAGGATAACAAAAGAATAACAAAAGAAGCAGAATCAGGACAACAACAGAATTAGCAACAAAAAAAAAAGAAGCAGAATGACAATTAAAAAAAACAAAAGCAACACAGGACAGCAAAATCGAAGCAGCAACAGAATCAACAAAAAAAAAATAGAAGCAGAATGAGCTAAAAAAAAACATAAGCACAATGATCATGACAGGAGCAGAATCAATTGTAAACAATTTCATATGTAATTATATACTGAATAAAAAAAAGCAGAACAGAGGCACATTTCACATGTACTAAAATAATTAAACATAGTATAAGCATAGACCACTTTTTGGTACCATTTGTATATATATAAGAAAAGGGAAAAGTATAACCAAGACATATCAGAGACACTTCTTTGTAAAAGAATTTATTATTTATCCCCATTTCTGATACTCCTGCTTCATTTTTTTATCATAATTGTCATGCAGTGTAGTCACCTGACTCCCACATCCCACAAATATTCTAAATGAATTCAGCAACACAAGGAAAAAAAAGGAATGTGTTTTGTTCGAAACATTGTTTATTAGAAAAAAAAAAAAAATAGATCAGCAATAGTCTAAAAAAAAGTCATTAGTGATTAAAAAATAAAAGAGACTACTAACCTGTAATCAGAAAAAAAAAAAAAAAAAAAAAAAGTGAAGCAGAATCGCTTTTTATAATAAATCGTTCGCTTTTTCGCTTTTTTCGCTTCTTCGCTTTTTCGCTTTTTCTTTTTTTTTCTCGCTTCGCTCACGTTCGCTTCACCTGGGGTCCTCCAGGCGAGATAAGCTCCCCTCGCCTCGCTTCTCGCCTAGGCGAGCTTTTCAAAACACTGAAAGGAACATCAAATAACCCTCTGACATAAGAGCAAGATTTTGTTCTTCCCAATTCACAGTTCAATGGAATTTCACATTGTTTCTCATGAAATTTGCACGGAACACGGAGCAAAAATTCTTCCATAAAACCAAAGCTCACAAGTCACAACCATACTAACAGTGAAATGGTTTGCGTTAATTTCCGACAGAACACTCATGCAATTATCCATAAAGAGCCGAAGTGAATCATCAATCATTTGTATCCATCAAGTTCTTGGAGAAGTGATGATTTGAAACTCAGTTCATGTACAAAATTAAAATAAAAGAGAAACTGTTACCTGTAAGTAAGTTATTGCCCGACGAAGATCACCTTGCGAGATGGAACTTAAAGTTGAAAGAGCCTACAATCAGTCATGGACCATGTCATCAGTATCAAATATGTTAATTCAATACCAAATACAAGAAAGATCACTTTACTCACGAGCAAAAAAGTTTACCAAACAAGGATCAAGAAATTGGAAATGTACCTCTGAATCCAGATTGAGGCTTTCCTCTTTGCAAATGTGCAATATACGACTGCTCATGATTTCTTCTGTAAGTGGCTTGAATCTAAATTTTGCACATCTAGAAGCAAGTGGCTCTATGATCCTATAAAAATAATAACAAAAATTAGAAAAGCCTCAGCGATTAACCCTCAAATATAATACAAAGCCACTACAATTCTGCATTGTCAATAATCCTGTTCGCAGATTTTGTTGTAAAATGGCAAAAATTCAAAATACATTGGCTCTTCTACAAGTTGATTTAAATGAGTGCACATTCCAGATGAAAAAAGGAACAGTGAGAGAGCGGAGAAGTTCATGGATGGAAGTGGTGTATTCCATCTGTTTACTTTCTCCAACTTTTGAAAGATGAGGCCGTCGAAGGGTTGTCGATCTTCTTCTCACACAAAAGAGTTTTAAGAGAGGATAATAAATGTTGTCTTGCTTCTCACTCCCAATTAAAGTCCATATTCAAAATTAGGCTCACATTGTATGTATGCTCTTTATGTAAGGCTTATTGTGGGGGCATCATTGAACTAATAGTGCCCATTTTAACTTTTTCTTCCCTTGCCATTTCTTTGTCTTCCACTATAGATAGATTAGATTGATCTCGAATGGGAATGCTCATTTCTAATGTGAAGTAATTGGCAAATGTTCATTAATTTACTGAAATTTAAGCAAAAGACATGTTAGGAAATTTGCATGAAATTCCCACACCTGTGAGAAACAAAAAATAGAGAAAACACATGCCAAAGAAAAATAACCACACACACAAGACAGTATTTACGTGGTTCAGCAATTTGCCTACGTCCACGAAACTGTGAGAATTTCACTATTGAGAAGAAGGAATACAAAGGGCCGCCATACAGTATTAATCAACCCTAATCACCAAAAAAATAACAGTTTTTATATGCTTTGCGTATCAGGTAACAAAACAGGCCAAAAAAAAATTTCCCGGGGCCCAAGTCGTAACGCCCATGGACTAAGTTTTAGAAAATTTCTCATTAGAAACCACGCAACATTATTTCAGGTCGGGTCATTATTCAGATCAACATAAACTAGACTCCATAAAAAGCACAACAAGACATTCATAATGTGAAGTGATGTCTACGTTATATAATTTGATTTTTATTTAGAAGTAATGGTTATCAATCAGGTAGTCCAACTGATGTTGAAAATTTATGGGCCAAGCTAAGAATTATAGAGCTTGGTAGATGCAGTATGCATCTGTAATAAGACATTACTAAAAATGAGCCCCATATAGTTACTCTGACATGTTTCATTGAAAAATAAAGCAAATTTGATTCTGTAGTGCAGTATAATGTTCAAGTGATACAAACATGTGAGAGAGAGAGAGAGAGAGAGAGAGAGAGAGAGAGATGAAAAATAGGATAAGTGTTCTAAAATAAAAGAAAGGAACCTGCTGATGTAGTTACAAATGAAAAAGAATCTTGTAACTTTGGAGTAAGTTTCCATTGTACGCCGCAAGGCATTCTGCAAAACAAAGAGTGATCTTACAACCATATAACAAACAAGATCGCATTACCATATTCTAACAAACCATAGACTTGCCTGAGCATCTTCCGTCATTGAATCTGCCTCATCTAGGATGATAATCTTGTAAGGTGGGCAAGGATAACCCCTAAAATACATAAGAAATAGTATCCACAAATTAACAGAAAGGAGCATATGAACTAATATGAGGCCATCAAGCTAAGCAATGTGTTTGTTCCTTGTATCGTACGGTAATGAAAATATACCCTTGACGACCAGAACCTACAGCAACAGCAGCAAAATTTTTTATTTTTGTCCGAACTACATTAATACCACGGTCATCACTAGCATTAAGCTCCAGTACCCTGGACTTGTAGAGCTCAGGCCTGTAAAAAATGGGATCAGTACTGACAAACAAGACTATAAATCAGGTGTGAACATTGAAAATAAAATAAAAACATTGATTGTACAAGGAACACCAAGAAGTTCAAGGCAACCAAGCGACTCTAAGTTTGGCAGCGTGGCTTCTAACAAGTCAAAGCCACCTTGCAGATATAAGGGCAACAGGAACAATACTGAGCACTGCATTGTTGGCAGACAGCTTGAGACCACTGACACCCAACCATCCGTTTCAGCTTGGAGATGCTTTGTTAGATGACTAAGTTTAAACAAAAGAAAAAAAAAAAGAATATATTTGAGAGTGTACCTCTGAAAGTTCAATAAATCAAGAAATTATAATGAGAATTTTAACATAAGTACACCCGATTCGGTGTTGGGTGCTGTTTTAGGGTGCTACTAGTTTCCAAACATAATTGTTAAGTACACCCTAAAAGGAAAATTTTCTTTTGATTGTTAATTTCGTTTTCCATGATCAAAGTCCACAGTGTTTTAGCAAGAGTACCAACCACAGTTCTCTTGGGAATTAGCATCTTCTGCTAACTCCAATTTTATTAAACTAAGTTCCCTCTTCCAACAGCTTAGCTTATAATCAGGATCTTGATAGTACTGCATTTGCAATAGTTAGTACTATTCTACAATTTCTATATTGTCTAGTTTGCCACATGCTTTCCAGAGAAAAAATAAACAAAGAAAAAAGAACTGCATTCCCAAAACTCATCAGTATTGCACCTCTTGTGGTCAATATTTCTCTTTTTAAATACTGCCAAAACTATTCCACTTAGTTCCCAAGAACACTTGCCCTTATCCCACAAAAACAAGAAATTACATCCATGCTTTAAATAAAATGAAATATCTCTCTCCCCATGCTTAAATCATGCACCATAAATGGTTCACAGAAGCTCAAGAGTCAACTAATTATCTTTTCCTACAAGATGAGGAGGCCTATTCAATTTAGGCTAGTTCTAAAGTAAGCCTAATTTATGCACCTTCCCAACATATGTCTTCCTTCTCTCACAGCATTAGCTGGACAAAGAGCCTTGCAACTTGTGAGTAACTTAACTAGAGAATAGTAGCATTATTCTATGCCATTGGTTTATTTGGGAAGAAAGGAATGGAAGAAAATTTAAAAACAACTTATGGGAGCGGTTAAGGAAATAAATATGGCTAAGACTCAACTATTTGGCATTTACTTTTCAAGGGTCCAGCTATATTCCAATGTATATATCCTCAGAGACTGGAACCTGTCATACCCCTCATCATCTTCCTAATAGTTTAGATAGAGCTTTCAATGGGACTTCACGAAGTCAGCTTTGGTGGGTGCCCCCAATCTACTCAGAAAGTTGATATAAGAAAAAGCCAAGACATGTAAAAAAGTTTTGAATGTCAATAACAAAAAAAAAACCAAGACATGTCAAAAAAAATAATTGATCTCTGTTTCAATTGGAAATGGTTCACAAATCAGTAAGTTAAAGAGGCAAGTAATAGCTCTTCCAATTGGTCTAGGAACTTTGAACATTGTGCTCAAAATCGCTCATAACTAATGAATACAGATCTGATGTCATCACTTGTGTAAATGATGGATCAATAGGTCAGTGGAGGTTCTCTGCTTTTACAAGAAACCCAATGGATACTTCCAGGACCATGAGTCATAGCTACACATTTTTATAATAGTTAATTCTGGTGACACTGAAGGGTATCGTTGTCGACATAATGAGAGGAGAGAAAACCCATCGCTATCCTGACTCTATTCCGGAAGCCTCTCTCCTCTTTCTAGTATCTTCTTCTATTTATCTTTTTCTTCTCTTCCTCTATTTATCTTTTTCTTCTCTTCCTCATAAATTCACAAATAACCAATTGAACTTGGTAACTCAAAAATCAAGTGTTTTCAGAAATTTGAAACTTCGTAATTTCTCATGGATTATTTGGTGTAAAGAACGCTGCCCTAATTTAGCCTTCAAAACTTGTTTACTGTGCTGCATATCCAGCCTGACTTGCTCGCATAGATATAGACATTCCTGCCCCCAATGACATTAAATGCAAAAAATGTTTGGCGGGATTTCAAATCCATTACCATGCAGTTATTAGCCCAAGCATAATACAACTGCACTAGGCAACAAGCCCTCACTCTTAACAAACGTCACGTACACAAAATATCATTTTACAATCAAGAACAGCTCCCAACATTTTCCACAAGCAAAGTACACAATTGAATCGCAATTGACCATTTACAAACATAAACATTATGCATTGAAAACTGGGTACCCGAAAAGCTGATGTGCAATGGCAAGCGCAGTGGTGGTTTTTCCAGTACCAGGTGGGCCATAAAATAGCATGTGTGGACACTACATATCAACCAAAATCGAGAATCAGAAACAATCACAACAACACAAATAGCTATCGCCAAAGCTTTTTTTAAGTTATTCCAGAGCACCAAATCAGACATTTTGACGATAAATGGTCTCGAATCAAAAGAAAAGAACAAAAGGACTACCAACAATCATATTACCCAGACAATAATAGGGTTTATGAATACGATCATCATTAGTTGAAAGCTTCAAAAAATTAAGTAGAAATTTACATTTGTGGTCTCGAGAGTGTTTGTGAGAACCCGAACGACCTCGTCTTGGTGAGCTACGTCCTTTACTTGCTTGGGTCGACTGATATTGAACGTTAATAAACAAATCAAATAAAATAGGCAATTAACCAATTTACACACGTATATCATCACGAAAATAAGGAGGATGAGCAAGATTCTTACTATTTTTCAACCCATTGTTGCGAGCTCTGCAACACTGGCGCCATTTCTCTCTCTCTCTCTCTCTCTCTCTTCTTTCCCGCTTTTATTGAAGGTGGAAATGGGGATTGATCTTTCGGGGCCGGGAAACAGGTGGGATGGGTAGACTGAAGTGCGAGGCCTGATGTTCATTTTGGGCCCTTTGATCCGGTTAGATCTTGGGCCTTAGCTCAAACTGATTGCAGAAAGGGTTTTTTGAAGCCAGTACATCATAAAACACTTATTATTTGCGAAAAAATCTCCTCTAAAAAATATTTAGAAAAAAAGTCTATCTAACAGTGAAAAAGACTGTTATAACCTTATATGGACTCTTATGTGATGAGGATTCTCCACCATTAACAGAAGTATTTTACGAGAATAGAAGGATGATCTTTCTTTTAAAATTTAATCGTCAAATACAGCATTCACGCCCCAAATAAAAACGAGCATTTTTTAAAATACTTAAAATAAAATTCATCTGCTTATTTGTTTTAGTAATATTATTTGGTGATATCACATCACCTTGTCACCGTTGTAATGAATATTTTATCCTAGATACAAAACATTTACAATTAAAAGTACTTATATTTTTGCATGGTATTTTACCACAAATAAGTAATTTATATAGTACCTATCCGTAATAGAAATACAAAGAGGCAAAATAACACAAAAACCCTCTGTTAGTTTTTCAGATTGATACCTTTTCATGTTTGATGTATACGACTCAGACCCCTCCTTATTATTAGTACAAGTTTTTTGAATTGAATTGAATTAAACGGAAGAGCCAAAAAGACTAATTTGCCTCCATTTGTCACTGTTGGTGATTAGCCACTAGACCTTTTCTTTTTTGAAGTTTATGAACGTAAACCATTTTGGATTAAAAAAACAATAAAGTGACATTAGTCATTTAACCTTTGACTGATCTCTTTTATTTAAGCACATCATGAAAAACAAAAAGGAATACGTTTTTAAGTGTAAGCATTACTTTTATCATCCAGAAATTCTTCTCAATAATTGACTTCAACTATTTGCTTTATCCTTCTTCTCAATATTTTATTCTTGATAACCTTCAAGTAGCTTTCCAACATCACCTTGAGTGTCTATTATTCGGTCTCACATCATCACCATTAGTTTTTGAGTCTTCATAACCTTCAATTTTTTTCTTTTTCTCAACTTGCATAATTTTTTAAATGTTAAAGAGTACTTGAATTAACTTTTTCTATATCACTATTGAACATTTTTTGTACAATTGAGCTGCGTTGAATCCTGAAGAATGGATTTATGCATTCACATGGTATGGATTATGGAATACTAGAGATAAGAAACTTCTCTCCCATGTTTGTGTGCACCCTAACTCAACTAGTATAACTATAACTGTAGGCATTTTTGCCGTTTCACTTTTAGTTAACTTGAAAAGTTATTTTTCAAGTTAAGCTATCTAGTCTTGTTTTTGATGAAAATTAGTTACTTGTGTGACGCTAAAGTTGCAAAGATGAAAAAGGGATTTTCTACTTTCATTTATGATGAAAACAGCTCAGAGAATCCACTGCTCAAATCCAGCAATGGGAGTTCAAAATCAAATGCAGTTCCTTGCAAGGATACATATGTTCACAGGGTCAATCAACCTATGATCAGTTTTACAGCCATTCCTTCCCTCAGCTGCATGGATGTTTCTACAAGTCAATCAGATAACTGTTCAGTTTCTTTGGATGAGAGCATGTCCACTTGTGATTCTTTGGGGAGTCCTGAATTTGAATACATGGACAAAGATGGCGACTTGGCAGTTAGTATTATTGAGAGGAAGACTTGTGACATTCTTATCATATCAGATCATTTGGGAATAGCACGTTCCTTCTTTTGCAGTTCAGCATTTCACCATCCGATTCATTTGTTTTGTGCTGAGTTGAGATCCTTTCGATTAAAATAGGAACTCTTCTCTGTTTTAAGTATAAAGTTGCACTACTGGTGCAGGGATGATTTTTTTTTTTTTATTTCTAGTTGGAATTCTCAAAAAAATATTCCTGTCTTTCCTGAAAATGTTATGCCCTAAAAATATGTGGCCAGTGATGGTTATTTTGGAATTTCAATGGTTTCCCAGTGTAAGGTTTTAATATTCTCCCGTTCCTGACATGTTTTTGTTACCTTGCTTTCAGGGGATATGTCCAAGAGAGACACATTTGAGGAGATTGAAACAGTTTGTGAAGTTGGTGGTGTGGACGATCCCCAGTTTTGTCCAACAATTGCATGCGACACCTATCAGATCTTGCGTGTATCTGAGGTTCATCATCTTTTTTCCTTGCTAAATTGTATATGCAATATGTTGACTTGAAATACACATTTTGAACTTATTTCACCATCAGTGGTGGCTTAAACTTTTCATTTGTTTCTGTAAATGCTTGATTGATTCACATGCAAGTTGAGTAATGGGATGCCAAAGGTTATTTCATTGGTTACAATAGTGCATACTGTGTGAAATGACTTGGTGTTTAGGCTCATTGTGTTCCAATTCATTACTTCAAACCTGGTCTGACATATATACAATGACAAGCTTCCAAGTCATATATACACTGTACAGGGAAGTATATTACTTAAATAGTGTTATATGGTGCTGATTTTTGTAAATTTCAATGCATTTCTTGATCTTATGCATATATAACTTGTTAGCTGCAATTATATGTGGTTACTATATTCTAAAAATCTAGCAAAGTCTTACGTAAGAGAATGGATGAAGGTGGGTAATTCTTTATTCAGGGAACAGAATTTCATGTTATCAAAAGGTTTGTGGTGATCCTCTGCATAATGGTTTTTGAAATAAAATTGCATCCTTGGGTTTTCTATTGTCTAATATGAATCTTTTGATGTGACACTAAAAATCCTAGACATTTCATCTTTACCTGCACATGAGACACTCATTTGTTTCGTCAAATAGCACAAAAGTGCATCACTGAAAAGATCTGCTAGTTCATGTCAAAAACAAAGATGAAATGCTAGAAAAATCTTGGTGCTAGTTGGATTGAACGATTGTTATTCTCTTGAAAAATTAGGGTTTCTAGTTGAAATCATGCGCTGAACTTCAATGACAAATCTGTTGCAATGCGGTAATCTGCTTGTATTAATGATTTTTCCATTGAAATGAATGAATTGATTTTTATGCAAGTGTAAAGCAGAGTTATAAGAATTGGACCGCAAAACTGTTTTGTTGGCCTGTTCATGGTTCAATCGGTTTGACTGCTGGTCAAATCATCTGGCCTGTCCAGTTTGAAAACAAGCTGAAATAGTAAAGGCACATAACAAAACTAACAGCCAACTGGCTTCCAGCTCTGTTGGTTTGGCCTTGCAAGACAGATGCTTATGGTTGGGAGTTCCATTTTCTCCATCATCATCACTCCAACATTATTTTCCTCAACATCATCCAAAGGCTGATTCAATTATGGAACCAAATTTGAACATTTGCCGGGTGACTGGTCCGACGCATAAATACCGGGATTGTAGATACACCCAGCATTCCACGAACGGGTCACACCACTGGAAACGGGGTAGGATCGCAGTCCAGATTGTTCAATGTCCCTTACCTAAATTATTACTCAAACCGGCGCAAATTGACTCATGATATAAGTCGCATCATTTTTCTAACCCCAAATCATAACACAAATTTGTTACTTCTTTATTTTGGTATTTTTTCATCTCATATTTTAATTTGCTGCGAAATATTTCATACTACAAATATGGACAATTAGCTTTTATTATTAACAATTGTTGGTCAGTACATTATCTTGAATTATGATTTGTTTTGGAATTGTTGTCAGAAATATAATTATTAGTTATTGCACGGGATAATTCCTGTAATAGTATGAGACAGCAATCTCCAACCTGGCGATCCTGAAACAACAAGGTTAGAAAAAAGGGGGTCAGGCGAGCGCCCGGCTAATTTTCTCCGAAACTTAAGTCAGTATAAAGTTGAAGGGTTTTGCTCAATGGACTATTTTTCTGATTCAAGTTTACATACCTTTGTTCATTTTTTTGAGGAGTATTTATACCTGAACTAGTAATGACCGCCAAAGATCTCCAATCTCATCTAAACATCTTACATCTGACACATCATTCCTCATGTAACAAGTGTTTTCTACTCACGTCTCCTCCTATTGAATGCTAGGAAAATAGGATAAATGTTCGGCCAAATGCCGAGCATTCATGCCACTCTCTGAGTACCCAAATCCCCCAGATCGGCATCCGACATCAACTAAACATTGAATACTCGGGGAGAACAGTTTCTCGGGGAAGCCGATCGCGTCATCTCGCACATCATTCATTAATGCTTAACCATCATGACAGTAGACTTAGACTCCTAGAAGGCAGGTACTGACAGGCTCGCATTTATTTGTTTTGTCATTTTCACTCGTTCCGCCATAAATGAGGGGTTACATTGTATTAAATACGATGTCAGCTGTCGTACCCGACTGCTCAATGTCACCATACCTCGGCTTACTTTCTCGGCGCCCTTTGGACATTCCAACGACTTCATTATTCCATGTGTCGATCCGAGGGCTGTAGAGCCACCAAGAGTCTCGCCAACTGTCCCCCAGCTGCCATCCTTTTTGCAGTGTAAGACAAGTGGCGTAAAGGAATTGTGGGCTCCCTCATCACGCCTTATTAATAGCGACGGTTACTTGCACGTCTGGTGCCGCACTTTTCAAACGCCGTAATGATGACCCAACTTTTCAATTCCTGCTCCCTGTGAGGTAGTATAAATAGAAGGTTTTCATACCTTATCAGAACTTTTGCATTCTCAACCTCTCTTCAGCAATCAGACCCCGAGTGCTCTTCTATTCTCCTCCGAGTTTTCTTCGTCCTCCAAGCTCTCTCTTTGAAGACCACCTTCCTGTAAGTACTTCCACTTGAACTTTCTCTCTCTTCATTTTTGCTACATTTCGTCATTTTAGCTCCCACCAATGGCTAGAACTAGTAGAACTAGGGGGAGACATCTGTTAGGGCTAGAACTACCCACAAGATGAGGAGAACCCAAGTAATCGATGAGAATATTCAAGCCTTTAGGATTAGGTACCACATTCATGAGCATGTCTTCACTTTCCCTTTTAACCCCACTCACCATAGGAGGGATATGAGAAATATGGACATGATGCCTTTCTGGATGAATGACATCATGGAAGGAGGGTTGACATTCCCTCTCCATCCCCTGTTGCTAGGAGTGTTGATGCAACTGAAACTTTTTCCCCTTCAATGTGGGGTTAACTTCTTTAGGATTGTGATGGGCGTAGTCGCCTTAAATTCTCGGCTGGGGACCAACTTAGGAATAGATGAAATTTTATTCTGCTACAACCTGAGCTAGTCGTCAGGGGAGGATATTACCTCCAGGCTCGAGAAGCCTCAATGTATCTGGTAATCCATATGTCTGACTCGGACAAGGGGTATGTAGACGATCTAATCATGCTCGGCGAAAGTTGGGAGAAAGGGACCGGGCCCGAGTATGATAGATTGTACTACCCCAAAGTGCTGAGGGATAAAGGTGTGTTTTCTTTTCGACTTCTTGATTTTGCTATTCTTGAGTTCGAGAGACGCACTGATTTTGCTTTGCTTTTGTAGAAGGATATCGTTGGGACGTCACTCAATCGTTGAGGTCTCAAGTTCGGTTTGCCGACCTGCTAAGGGTTTGGTCCTCGGACCCAGTTGAGCGAGCGACGCATACTCTCCTTGGCTACACGTCGGCTTACAGTCGATTCTCCCAGATTTCACCTTCTTTCAACCCTTCTGTTTGGGAAGACCATTCCTCGTCGGAAGAGGAAGAATCCAAAGGAGAGTATGATCATCACGCTCTCAAGCCCCTTGCACCTGACATGTTTAATCTGCCACCATTCACTGCTACTACAATGGAGGCCGCTGTCGCAGCAAGGAGAGTCAGGCTCGCCGGGCTGGCCGAGACTTCTAACACTGCCCCCATCATCCCCCCACCTAGTTCTTCTCGAAGGCAATGGCCCCCCCAGTCGCCACCGCGTACGCAACCATCTAGGGACCTGACTGTACCGACCAGGCAAAGGCCTCAATCTCAACAAGTCCCCGTTCCGGAGACCGGCTGAGGAACAGGCGTGCCCGGGACGTCGAACAATCTGAGGAACGTCGTGTTAAGCGACGGCATGACACCCCGGGCCCAGGCCCGTCTATCTTGGGCGAGAGTGGGTCCCTCGGGCAAAGACCAGGAGCGCCCTGTTTTTGGAAGCCAACTCAATCCTCTAGTCCTCCGAAGTAGCGTTTGTTGTCGCAAGGACACTTCAATTTGATGCCGATATGGCCGTGTACAAAGGTTACTCGGACAATCGGCTTCTGATGAGCACTATCCAAAACAACCTGGTGGTAAGTTTAACACTTTCCCGAGTATTCCTCGCACCCTTTTGGTTGTTCCATAATATTCCTCCTTTTCTAGGCCAGTCAGCAGGTGGGGGTCATAATCGAACATTTTTGGGAATATAAACAAGAGGCGAAGAATGCCGAGCGAGCCGTAGCTGCTAAGGACGACCACATCCTTAAGGTCGAGAGGACCCTCAGCTACCAAATCAAACACATCGCCAAGCTCATCCGCCATTGAGATGTTGTTCGTGCTTAGCTGGAAAAGACCAAGGTAGGTGAAGTTGCGATGATAAAGAAAGCCGAGAACTACGAGCTGTGAGTGTCCTCCTTCAAAGTCAAGCTGTAAGAGTCTGAGTCTGTAATCAACTTTCTTACTACTAAAGTGGATTCCTTGACAGCAGAGAGGGCGGGGAGTAGGAAAGGCTGTAATCAGAATGTCAGAGGGTGTGGGCGGTCACTCAAGACCAAATGGTCCCTACTTTCGAGGAAGGCAAAAAGAAGAATTTCAAAGAAGCTTGGGACACCGCCCTTCATGCCTGCCACGTCGAGGTAGGCTCGGACTTATTTACCATGCACAGCCTTCAAAGGGAGGCCGATGACAAAGCCCTAGACAAACAGGTCCAATCCGACCTAGGTGATCACGTGGAGGTAGAAGGGCCGATCAGGGCCGAAGGTGGGAACGATCCCATCATACTCAGCGATGGTTCTGACTAGCCTTCTCCTGCCCTTCTGTCTTTGCCACCTGCCAAGCCAACAGATGATCTTCCCCCTCCACCCCCAATTATTACTGAGGTACATGATATCGAGCTAGATGAGATATTGAAGGTTGGAGACGAGCTATAAAGGCAACGTGGAGGCCTCTACGGGGGAGGAGCCAGGGAAGAATGAGCCGAGGGCCTTAGCAGCTGGTGGCCTATC